TGTGAAAGGGATTCGAACCCGCGACTCACAGATTGCGAGTCGAGCGCCCTAACCACCAGGCCATGCCGGGCACAAAAAGGTAGGAGTTTGGAATTTGAAAGTACCACAGGGAATCGAACCCTGGATTTAGGAGTTGTAAGTCCGTAAACTTGCCTCTGTCCTACTAGGGGATAAATACAATCATTCCAATATACACAATGGAGAAATCTGCTAAGCTAAAATAAACAATGTGTGAATAAAAGCTACTTAATACAGATCAACTAAAGCTCTCTAAAACTAATTTATCTTGTATTACCAGTGCTTAATCTTATAGTGCCGGAACCCTGCTAAAATTTGTCAAATGTGTGACGTTCCCATCAATGTAGAGATCTCATATTAAAAACCTGAAGTACCACATCCCTGTATATTACTAAAATTCATAACAAAAAATAACGACAATAATTTTATTGGTCCAATATTACCCCACTTTTAGTATTTTTTCACTCCACTGTTTTCACCCACTACATTGAATTTCTGCGGTCTGACCGAATTTAATAACTATATAATGTCTAGTGTTCCACATTTACTTCTTGGTCTAACGCGGTTCAATTGTTAAACACAAGAACTACAGTTTAGTATAATGCACGTACATTAATGTATTTCAGTCTTAAGTTTTTCTGGTTTAATTGTAATAATGACCTAGCACAGGTATTTTTTTTTCTTCTCTTAGTACGTGTACTTATCAGGGCGAATAAAATTAAGTACGCCTTAGAACGTGTGGATAATTTATAACGAAAGCTTATTGACGTACTTAAATAACGTGAATTGTTAAAATAAAAACTAAAAAACAATACACACCAAGGATACATCCACCTATTTTTCGACAAGCAATGATTTTCCTATAACTAATGGCGAACATACAAGTATATAAAGTGCTGCTATAGTCACGGGAGTTCATCCCCCCCCCCCCAACTGAAAGTTCCGGATCTGTCACCACTACACATGTTAAGTGTATACTCATGCACCATACACTACGAATACGAAGCGTTTATATACTGCTGCTGTTACGATAAAGTAATTATTATTTTAATATTTGTACAACAAGATATGTTTATTTACGAAGCTTAGTAGATATAAAAAAATTTACCACAACTAAATAGATAGCCTGTAGTCACTGTTCATAATGGTCTCATTTCCTCTGTTGAGATAAAAAGAATCTTTAGCTGATGAAAGTTAAAAGTTCTAGTTTATTTATAATTTTCATTATGAGAAAATGGACTCTTAGTTTGGATCCTGGATAACGTTTGATCCTATGCATCCTTGAAGCTAAGACTTTTTGTATGATATCTGGTTTATATAAAGTTGTGGTCTTTGAAAGGTATGGTGCATTCAGTCAAGGTTCAAGTAAGGTCAGCATGGATAAAAACAACTTTAAGTTTGGGTTAGTAATTGACTCATCTTAACTTAAACTTAATGCCAGTTTTCTACATGTTTATTAACGTTTAATGATCTTGTATTTATCACACATGTCTGTGACTTGTATATTGCTCACTTTCAAAAATGAATTTTCAGAATATAAAAAAAAATGTAGCCATTTTAATTTAAAGAAAATTAATTTTATTTATCTGTTTTGACAAATAAATGACATTTTATATTTCAGAACCAGTTCCACAGACCATGTGTTAACAAAATTTTAACATAACAAGTTACTTCCTTCCTTATGAAATTTAACTCAAAATTTAAGGAAAATACATTACAAATAAAACATTCTGTTTAGTGCAATAGTAATACCCTACTCTCTTTGAGCTAAGGGACAGTCTTTCAGCATTCAAAGATCACAGAATCAAAGCATTTGGAACCAATATACCATACACTATCATATGTACTAGCTTCTACACACACAGCACAGCAAAAGTGATGTGTGTGACTCCAATTACCCTTATATTAGAACTTTTAACTAACTATGGACATTATCAAATCCTAGATTCGGCACAAGCCATCGAAAATGTTTGCCCTACGCTTGAAGAAACTTACCTGGTCTGTGTCAGTACGTGTGGTTTCTCGTCCGTGTTTACGATCCAAGCGCTGTCGAACGCACTATGCATAAAGATACTGGCCTTCCACCCTCCGCGTTTAAATACATGGTGCCTCAACGTTTTACTTGTACATCCCATTCTTCTCTATGTTGGCTGCCAGTCTCCTGGACACTGACACTAAAAACTTGTGCATTGGCAGTGATGATGAAGCAGTAATATGCCAAATAATCAAATTCAACTTTTCGAATGCCATTTATATGTTGTGCACCAGGCATTTGCAAAACAATTTCAGTGGCTATTTGGAAAGCAAAATTGGACTAAAAACACCAAAATGCGATGAGTTCAACAACAAAATTTTTGGTTCATGTGGACCAGTTAGTGTTGACGATTTCGTGACATTCGAGGAAAGAGCTCAAATTATGCAGAAGGGCATTGACAAATTTCTCCCAGGGTTCAGCAAATATCTCAATTCACGTGTTATTCCATTAAGCAGAGGAGGGTTGTTCAACACCTATAGGGACCACAAAAACATGTTGTGGACCAACAATTGTGAGAGTGTTAATCACATTATAAAACAATTGACTGATTGGAAGTTAAAGCCGGCTCACGAAATGGTGCAAATTATCATCAAACACATCACATCCCAGTTCAAGAACATAGAACGTACAGTAATTGGTAGGGGCAACTATGATTTAGCGCCAAACTTCGTTCAATTTAAGCACAAGGCAATGAATTATGCCAACAAAACCACCGAGGAAGGACAAGGACCTTCACTAAATTTAAGAATAGCCATGGACTTCAATCCAAAGAAACAGCAACTTCGGCAGATGTAAAAATCACTATACCTAAGACATCCTCGATAGGTTTATTTGTTTGTTTTTGAATTTCGTGCAAAGCTACACAAGGGATATCTGCGCTATCTGTCCCTAAGTTAGCAATGTAAGACTAGAGGGAAAGCAGCTAGTCATCACCACCCACTGCCAACTCTTTTACCAACGAATAGTGGGATTGACCATCACATTATAATACCCCCACGGCTGAAAGGGCGAGCATGTTTGGCGGGATGGGGATTCGATCATCGATAGGAAAGAAGCCTCAGCAGACAAAAAGTGAAAATGGACAGACAGAACAACAACAATAACAAAAAAAACTAAAGATGTAAAAAGTTATAGATTATTAATGTATGTTTTTATCTTCAATTGTAAATTTCCCCCCATTGGGATAGCAGTAAGTCTTCAGATTTCAGATTTACAACTTTAAATTTAGGGGTTTGATTCCTCTCGGTAAACACAGCAGACAGCCTGATGTGGCTTTGCTATAAAGAAACACATGCTTTTTTATAACACGTTTTTCTAATGTACTTTATATTTTTCCATAAGGCCATTAGAATCACACATCACTTTTGTTTTGTGGCATGTATACAGGTTAGGATATATGAATGATCAAATACATTCTCCTCTTAAAAACAATTGTACATTGGCTCCAAATGCTCCGATTCAGCATTTTTACGCACTCATCTTTCAGTTCATATCCACTACAATTATGGCATGTTTGCCCAGAATTTCTCACAACTTCAATGTTTACAATACAGTGTAACAAATTTAACATTCAGGAACACATAAAACTTACAAGTAGAAAATAAGGAAAAGATTAATTTATATATTACAATTATTACTTGTATTACTAAAAACTCAAGTATATAGGAGTTTCAGTTGTTGTTGTAGTTATACTGAAAAAACAAATTCTAATATTTTTGTTCTTTAATATTTACTGCTTTAAAATGTATTTAAAAGTGTTAACTTCTGTTCATTCACCTGTTATTGGCTCACTAAATCTCTATTTCTTCCATCCAATTTTGTTTTTGAATGTTTAAATAATGTGAACAACAAAAAATGATTTCTTTATTTTTCACCTATGTTTTGTGGTCCTTTAATTAATAGTTTTTAAAAACACTCAACCATCTAAGTCACTTCAAGTAAAACCAAAAGTACTTCCATTAAAGTTGAACATATTAGACAGATTTAAGTCTCTGGAATTTCAACTGCTCCGTCATTAACTATTATGATTATGCCTTAAAGAAGATAAATTCTGATACAATATTATGTACTGTATAAAATTAAAAAAGGTTTATTTTATGAAATTTGAAAAAGTTTAATACAACTTTACAAGACACAAATAAGAAGTTAAGAAACAATACAACATTTCAAAATCAGCTTACTATTTGGAAACCACCTTACAAATCAAAATTGCCCAAATCTACACAAATTTAGTTTCAATAAGATATGTGGAATATACACAGAATAATATATAGTCATGGTTACATACACAAATACTAAAATCCTATTTTTCTCCAAACTTTTGTATTTTAATTGAAAGTTGAATATTGCAACATCAAGTTTAAACTGCTGCAAAAAGAAAACTAAAGACTACGTTAAAAACTGAACTAAGTTTTATATTAAAAACTAATATCTAAAAGTTCATTAATATATTTTAAACAAAACAAAAGACTAAGAACATTTAAATTTTCAGAAGTCAAAACTGGAATTACATGCCAAGTTAATAACACTTCAAAGCAGTATTAAACTAATCTTACACAAAAGCAGCTTTCATAAGAGTTGTAAATTGCAAGCTTTTTTTTTTACATATATTGAACAAATTAGGAAATTACAGAAAGAGTTAGATATTTTTTTAAAATTCACATCACCAAGAAGTTGGAAAAAAGTATATATATATATATGGGCTGAAACACACTACCTGCATACAACCCCTTACATCAAAACGAGTCATCAAATATCAAAACTTATTGCAGAGTAAAAATTAGTTTTGTATAATTCTATATGGTATTAGTGTCGCACTAGTTTATTCCATGGTGTAAACCTATGAAGTCAGTTGGAATGCATGTAAAAGAACCAACACAACACTTTGACAACATTGGATGTGAAAGATAAGTCAACATTTAATACCTTTCACAACATTTACTTCATGGCTTGATTAATTAGATATATAACCCAGCAATTCTATAACTTCATACTGAATTGTACACATATAAGACAGCTGCAGTTAAAATTACTGACTATTGAGTAAAGTTTAACATTGCTCATCTCCTCGTATGGCAACAAGATTTGTTTCCTGAAGTTATTTAATGAAGACATCTATAATGCAAGCTGTGCTTTGCATGAAAAAAACAATAACAATCAAGCACAAAAATGGTTTGAGAAAAGTAACTGTGGATTAGATATGTAACTTAAAATGTGATAAAACATTGAATTTACCACAACCCAGTGGAACGTCCCCCTGGAGGATTATGGACTCTGATGCCAGAGCGAGGACTGTCTTCATCATCTATCTGAGCTCCTGAAATAGACCATCAACCTTTCTTGTATACATTTTCAAGGAATTAAATTACTAACATAAACCTATTAATAAAAAACACTCCTATTGTCTTAACACCACAATAATCTTCTTTTACATACCACTATTTACCTACTAAAACCAGTGTGACACTGTTTTAGACAAACAGTTTGGATCTGATAATGTAAACATGCATATATATACACACGTATACAAGATGTACTTCTGCAGGGTCCCCAAAAGTGTTCTGTTTCAGGAGTAAATAAAAACCAAAATTAAGAGTAACAAATATTTCTATTTCTTGTTTTTGAAGTTCATATGTTATACTGTGTTGTAGCCTACAGAGTGCATAATTCTTCTCATGTTTCATGCCATGCGCATGTTTTAGTGCTGTCACAATGGTACAAATTGAGATGTTAAGAGTCCCTTACGTAACATCATTTTACTGTCTACTGACTGACAGACAACAAACTACTGTATAGTTGTACGAATAGTTAAAACAGGTGACCTTTGCCCTTCTTTTGGGGAAATAATATCTTAAAGGAAATATATATATAAATACAAGCTTCTAAGGAAAATACTGATCAAGTACTAAGATCAACAAAACAAATATCACTCCAATAAATCTCACATGTACCATTCTTACAAAAAACTCAAATACAAGTACATAAAAATTTCATAAGTATAACATCATAGCCTTTTAGTTCACAGTGCACATGTGCTCTATAAATTACTAGCTTACATGCTAAAAAATGCATATCTATCACTTACCACATATTTCTTTACTTAAGTGCATTTACACTTAAGCATGTACATGCTGCATACTGTTGCATGTTTATTTAAGTACTACAAACAAAGAAGGTATGCATTTGTGCAGTTTTAAATATTAGTTTATTTCTGCTGTATTTGCACACAAAAGGATCACTTCAGAATGTTTATGTATTTGAAGAGGAAACTCCTGTCGTAAACGAAAGCTTCGGAAGCCCCTTTGCTTTGGTTGCATGTTTTTCAAACAAAATCATACGCTCTGTGAATGCAAACTTTCTCTCAGCTTGTGAAAAGTTTTTAGCCATGGCATAGTGGCTCATAGAATGGCTCCGAGTTTTCCAGTACACACTTTTAGCTTACAGCTCTGTCATCTCTTCACCAATTTGAGATCTAATTACAATTTTGGACTCAGGAGATCAACCCCTTTTGAATTATGTATTTGACCATGCTCAAGGTCTCATAGATTAATTTACTGTAATCCTACCTAAAATAATTTCAATTTGAGGGTAGGTTGATACAGATCCTGATGAGTAATAATATCGAATCAGGTATGCACACTCCCCCATGCTTGGTATTGCTGGTGTACAAAACATATAGTTAATAAAGAAGGTCTCACAGATTAATTTACTCTAATCCTGCCTAAAAGAATTTCTAGTGCCGCAGCTAATGATAATTCCCTCATTTTTATTAGGTACGAGAAAGAGTGACAAAGCTTTGTCCCTAACATTTTTAAATGTTAATATATCTGTTGGAGACCATGATTTTTTTAACAGTAATCTTCAACTGTTAACTTGCCAGTGTCTGAAATAATTAGTAGCCCATTCTCATCCTAGCAATACCTTATAAAAAACACCATGGATGAGGCATATTGAACATAAATACATTATGATCTATCAAGGTATTATAGTACCATGATATATAAAAGTATGATACTCTATATCCTGAGCACTTACGAAGGGTGAACCTTTCTTCTTCACAGGCAAACCTTTTGAAAGCACTTGGGCTATAGAGTATCATATTTTTATGCTAACCCTATGAATAAAGGCTTGGTGGAATCCACCCAGCTTGTAACCACAAATGTATCCATGAAAGTAATTACACTCTAATATTTGATACTGTATGTGTATCTTCACAATTTTTCACAGGTTATTGGTAAACGTTACAAAGCTTTCATACACAAAATATCAGATATTTAAATTAAGTATTAAGATCTTTTAATTAAAGATATTCTCGTGAAATGTTTTCTTTCAGAATGTTGACTATCCAACATGCAAAGTAATTTTGATTTTAAAATTAAAAATACTTTTCTTTGTCTGAAAGTTGTCAAGTTTCATTTACATCATTCCTATATCTTCCTAAGTAACCAAACATTCTTTGAATAAAACTTTGTTTTATCTGTTATTTTATCAATCTTAACACTATATGGTGTTAGCCAATTTGACCGACCATGTAACCATCATAAAAATTAGGAAATAAATCTAAATTACCCTTTCTTTTGTTCTAGAATGACTGCAAATTGTAAGAGGAAACCACAAATACTGATTCTAAATAGCTGAATTCTCGTAACAGTATACATCTATTTATATTTATTAATTTTCTTATTGACCTTTAAACCGTGTCTGACTAGAAATACTCTGACACAAGTATATCCTATGTAGTTTTCAGTAATATAAATATGGCTTGTATTCTTGGCTTAGCCTTTTTGATTGATTGATTTAAAAACAAATTATTCACTAGCAAACTGATAGTTCAACCAGGTGTTTAGGAATTATTACCTGCAAGTAACTAATTATCATTTACAACATATATAGAATCTCCAATCAATAGTTTTAGTATATAGTTGTTGACCAAAATTCAGTGTGGTTTCTGTACTTTAGCATAACATGTACAGCTGGTGAAACCTGTTATATGCATAAAAGAATGTATATACAGGTAAGGAAAAAGTACAAATCACAGAATACATGTAATGATATCCAATAGAAAATGTGTAATAAAGTTTTATATTTTTTTCCTTCTACAAAAGGAATCTGAACTTAAAGATAAAGCAAAAAAACTGATGAAGAAAAAGGCCCTAAGATATGAAGAAATTGAGTTCCTCCTAAATACTTCATTTTCTTCTGATGAAGGAGGCCTTACAAAGGCATCTGAAGTTGAACAACTTGATTCTTCTCTTGCAATGCCTCTGACAAAAGTTCTTCACAAAAGTCAATGACTGAAAAATACTGAACCAGCTCTTCTTGATTCTGTCCTATGGACAGATCAGGATGTAGCTGGTGAACTTAGGGAAGATGGTCCTGAAGAACCACCACTACCAAAAAGAATCGGGACAGGGAGGGGCAGAATTACAGCCTATACTGCAACTGTTCCTTCCAAGTAGGAGAAGCCTCTCCCCTGTAATGATACATGGAGATGGATGGAAATGCCTGAAAAACTAAACAGAGAAACTACATTTATCAGAGGTGAACCTGTTTCCCAAAAGATCTCTGCTAGAGATTCCATTGATTTTTTTAAACTTATTGTTATGATAGAAATATAACAATTCATCAACACTGAGACAAATAGGTAAGCTAGTGTCAATGAAACTGTGAAATGGACTTATGTTAATGTTGAAGACATTTTAACTTACTTTGGTTTCATTATAGCTATAGGTCTCAATCCTCTTCCTTCTCTTTCTGATTACTAGTCTTTTTATCCTCTCTTTCATACTCCTCGGCTTACCAATCTTATCTAGGGACAGGCTTTTTGCTATTCGAAGATACAATAACAATTCTAATATTCTACCTAAAACTGCTTCTAACTATGATAATCTTTTCAAAGTAAGACCTATTGTAGACATTCTTCTGAAATCCTTTGTTTCTCACTCTTCTCTTAACAGAGAACTATCTATAGATGAGAATATGTTAGGTACAAAATGTAGAATTGGTTTCCTTCAGTACATGTCCACGAAACCTGTCAAGTGAGGTATCATGTCGCAGAAGCTGCGAGTAGATGCTGTCTTAAATTTAAAATCTACACAGGTAAAGAAGGACAAACTCCAGTTAGGGGTCTTGCAGACAATGTTGTGATGGACAAATACAACAGACTAGGACATAGGGTTTTCATGGACAATTTTTACACTTCCCCTCATTTAAATCACAAATTATTGGTTGTTGGAACCTATGCTTGTGGGACAAAATACAAAGACAGATTGTATTTCCCAAAGGAACTGGCAGCTACAAACTTATGCAAGGGAGAAGCACATTTTTTAAATGTAGAACTTTGACAGCTGTAAAATGGACTGACAAATTAGACATTTATGCCCTTTTCACTTTTCACTCTAGTACTATGACAACTGTGACAAGGAGAAGGAGGGATACTATGGTTACAAAACCTCAGTTAATGGTGGACAACAACGAGTTTATGAGTGGGGTGGACCTGAGCGACCAACACAGGATGAAAGACGATAGAGTGGTACAAGAAACTGTTTTTTCGACTTTTGGACTTGACAATTGTAAATGCTAACATGCTTTACAAAATGCAGACCAACAAGCCAACATTGCCCCCATAAGGCCTTCAGAGTGGACTTGGTCACTTGGCTTGTTCAGCCTCTACTTCAAAGCAGACCAGGTCTGGTATACCACTTTCACGAACTGTTCAACTCTAAGATTAACTGTTGGAAGACATTACCCCATACTTGTTGAGAAAGGTAAGAGGAAAATATACAGACTGTCTTACAAAAAACAAAGCTACAAATGAAATATAAACTCTGTAATGAGTTTCTTTATGTCAAACACTTTGAAGAATATCATACTACTGCTGTTCTTTAAAGAGATTAAAAGTTTCTGCAATTTCCTTTTCTTCTGTTTCTTACTTTATTTTTGGTTTTTATTAACGAAATATTTTTGTACAAGTTTTCATTGATCTATACACTTTTGTATGTATAGTAATAATGTTCCTTTTCATCTATAATTTGAGTTTGTACAACTTTTCATTATTTCATACAGTTTTACATACATTGTTCTCCACATAAATGAGTACTTTTTGTTTGAATGTACAATAATATTTTCTGAAATTTTAAAATTTTTTAATAGTTTTTTTTTACTGAAATATTTTTGTACAAGTTTTACTTTTTTGTACACATATTAAACATGTTCTTTTCATGTGTTCTTCGAGTTTGTACGACCTTTCATTATTTCATAGAGTTTGTATGTACATTGTTTTCCACATATGTGATTACTTATATTTGAATGTAGACTAACGTGTTCTAAAACTTCTCCATTTTTTTCTTATTTTTAATACTGGTTTTGTATTGAAACAAATTTTATAGAAATTTTCCTTGATCTATACACTTTTCTGCAAAAATGTTCCTTTTGATATGTTAAGATCAGTTCATCAGTGATAAATCTATTTCATTGACTTTCTCAAATTACATAAACTTTTCCTGAATTGCCAAGTCTTTAGTATTTCATAATTTTTTTATTGTACCTCAATGCAAACGAGTTGAAAAATAACACAAGTTCTTACTTTGCAAAATACAGTAATATATTGGTTACCATAGATTACATATATATATATATATATATTATTAATATTTTCAAATAAATACTTAAATATCAGTTAGTTTTCTTCAAACATAGAACAATAACTAAAAAATATTTGGAACAAAATGATCTCTACTATTTACGATGCTACAAAGTCCTAGTTTGCACTCGTGAGTCGTACTTGCTAAGCCATGTCAAAATTCACATATGGAGATGGAAAAATAAATTTTGTAGACTTAATATAAGCATTTTGAACACAAAAAATTACATATTGCTATACCAATACTCCATAAATCCACTGTAATTTATCAGGCTTCATAACTAAATTGTATTTGGGTCTAAAAAATAAAATTTCTATTCACAAAATAGCCTTGATCATAATATTTCAAACTTTCCAATGATACAAGAACTTTTCTCATAAATAACTTAGGAAGAGTGACAGAATTATGTAAAAGAAATGTATAGCTTTCTATTGGTTATACAGTTATTGATATAGCCATACATAAACAAGTCTTCTCAAATGATAAAGTGATGGGTGGAGCCGATATGGTGGATTTGCTAAATATCATGATATCTCAGCAAACAGAAAAGGTAGGATGTTCTTATTTTATATTCTAACTTGCCAATATTGGAAATTAGAGTTTTTAATTTATATGAAATTACAGACGTTGTATTGTGGGCATCATAAAATGTAATCTGACCAAACCCAGAAGTTCATGTACCACGTGACACACAAAAATCAATATTTAGCTTTTCTTTTTAATATTTACTTTCAAATTAAGAAACTAACTAATGTATAATACTGAAATTTGAATTATAATCTACAATTTGATTCCAAACTTAGTGACAAACCTAAAAAATAATGATTAAATAAAGTGTTGAATGTAAGTCTACAAATGTGATGACTTGCCCTCTGACCCTTAGCCATCTTGATAGGGTTAAATTAATTTCTTGAACCTAGGTGTTTTTCTAATTTCATGAATGTACCATGATATATTATGACTTATATAAAACTACCATGGTATTCACATGAAGAACTATAATCCACTAAAGCATTACTATAGGTTTCATTACCTGTTTTTTCATAATAATAATATGGTAAAATTCCAATAAAGGGTAAGGTGTCTATGCATGCAGAAAAGAGGCCAAACTAAAAGAATTTTGAAAAATATATGGACAACTGACATCATAATCCACTCCATTAAAATTTAAGGATAAATTTTTACATTGAAACTGTTCCTCAACCAAATAAACCATACAAAATAAATGTAATTAGGAGTAACATTTTGGAGCACCATTTTTTTACTGATGATGGTTAATATATCAGTTTCATTGCACTTAGTGGTAAATTGTCAATAAATCATAAGTAGGTTTAAATTCAACATGGACAGAGTCTTGGGATATTGTATACCATTCCTCTGTCAGTGGAACACCAATCTCTGTGATGTTTGAGGTTTGGTTAAGACATCTAAGAAATTCCAAATTGTAGTTTATTAAAATTAGATCATGGCTTCCAGTGGAAGAGGAAAGGAAATGGGGCAAAGAGAAGGAGGGAAAACAAACTGGAGAGAAAATCCTTCTGACAGAACCCAAATAACTCATTGATCCTCGACGAAGAGACGCCAGTGAGGAAAAAATCCAACACTCGAGCTCCTACCAGTTCCAAACCCACAGGGTAGTCACGGGTACTATTGGATATAGACTTTTCATCATCAAGGAAATTGACCAAAAGAAGTACCCTGACAAGTAGGAATGGGTGAGGGTTTGGAGAAGAAAAAAACAGGAGATGGGAATGAGGTTCTGACAGAGACAAATGGGCGACAAAGGACGTGAGGGTGGATTGCTGACAGGCCAAGGTAACCCAAGATTTGATAGTTTCTTGGATGGTACCAAAGACATGTCCTGGGCCAATATAGCATCCTTACCAATAAGGTCCCAACAGCAATGAAACCATATGTTTAACGCTATAGCTGAGGAAGAAATGTGGGCTAATGTAGAGGAAAGAATGTGAAGGGCATCTGCAGAAAAGCCCTCAGGATTTCTGTGGAGTACCTCAGAGAGGAGATGTATGGAGGAAAGATACTGTAGAAGGGTGGTTAGGGTCAGACGAGGGAGAGAATATTTGACATGGGGAGGACTAACATTATAATCGGGAGCTGCCCCCCAAAGAGTTAATTACAAACCCAGCAACTGCTGAACCAAAAATGAATAGTCAGCACAATGGTAAGAAAAGGGCGTGCTGATCCCTTCACTTAATTGAGAGACAAAGTGATCAGCATGTACCCGAATATTTGGAGAGGGAAGAAAAACCAAGATGGTTGAGGTTTCATGAAATAAAGAAGGTCAAGAGATTAAGATATAGGGAAAAAGAGATAAAACATCACAAACCAGAGACACAGAAACTGTGAAGACTGAATTAGGCCTAGATGATTCCTCAGGTATCAAGTTGGAAGAAACAGCAAACTCTAGAAACATGAAATGACAATCAAAATCCTCGTCATTCTGTAGAATTTCCATCTATTCAGGAGAAGCCTGGGCGATGTCAGGGGACAAAAGTTGACCCATGTATCATTCAATCTCCCAACATATAAGAGCAGAAAGATCTACTGTCAAGTCACCTGCATCTGAAGTCTGAGAAACAACATTAGATGTTAGTGTGACTCTTGAAGTGGTAACATGAATTTCAGAATTCATAATGCAAAACAGAACTCAAAAGTTATCAAGTTTTGCCAAAATAGATTGTGAAAAATTGAACTGTGTTACAGTAGAAAAGAAACTATAAGTTCAGAAAGAAACCACTTTTGGCACGAAAAAAATGTTCCGTCATCACACAGTAGCACTAGCACAAAAAAAAAACGTCTGAACTCAAATGCTGTCAAATGAGAAGTGGAAGTTTGGTAGAGTAGTGTAGAGGGAGTCATATACGTCACTTGAGCATCTCATGCTATTATTGGTTAAGAGATGATGCATGATGATTTGTACAAGAGACATGTTGGAACATAATATTTCCAATAGCGAGTGGGGAGGGGGTGCAAGGCTTGTGACATGAATTATAAAAAGTTAATGTATAGAGGGCAGCACTGAACAAGAATAGCTAATCTTGTGAGCGGTGGTAATTACTGTATTGGAATCAAACTCAAATGTACTCTCTTCCCAGTAATCAATACAATACATATATCTAAGGGAAGTGTACAGTGTTTACATGAATATTTATTAGAAATACCTGAAAGTTATACCCTATGTAGAATTTACCATCTGAAAGTCAAAAGTATACTGATAATTCATAATTATTTCTGATATTTGTTTTACTTTCACCATTGTTTGTTTCTATGAATGACACCAATGTTTCCCATGTTTGTTAATTTCAATTTCATAAGGTTCTGTTTTTAAAGTTATTTAAATTGTAATCACTCATCCTGGTCTACCATCTCAACAATGAGCCTTGTAATTATCCACATACAGACTTGAAATAAATAAATATCTTTACAATCATAAATGCTTAGAGAATGATCAATGTTAGGTACTATTTCATTGCATAGATATAAACAAATCAGTTCAGAACAGTAAGACAGGCTTATACAGTTTCTAGCTATTCAAATATGTGTCCTAGCTTTACTTATGAAAGCCAATATTTTAAATTGAGAACAAGAACATTTTTTCATTATTACTTTTTGTACATTACAACTATTTGATTTGGAAGGTAAAACTTGTTAAAAAGGATAACTGTAGCAAAAAGAGTAGTAAGAATGAGTTGACTTGTGTAGTAAAAGTTGATACTGCACATTGATGATGATTGTACCTGAAATACTAAAAGTTGAATCCTGAAGGTTACGGGCTCCACTACGAGTTGGAGGACGAGAATGGAATTCTGATTGTTGGCTTAGAACACAGCAAGTGTCCTTCTGAAACTCCGGTTCAATGCCATCTGTTACCATGTTATTAGTAGATTCTTTAAATGCTTCTCGTTGGACTCTGTGTGGTTGTCTAACCTACATGAATCAGAAGAAATACATATGAACACACAAAATCTGCCCAAAACGTAGAATAAGTTCGAAAGACACCATGACAAAAATATAATTAGATATTTATAAAATATAAAACAATCCATAATACACATGTAAGTATTCATACTACCTATTAGTTCCATAAAATATGTCCTAATTCATTCTATTCTTAGAAGAAACTTGTAAAAATATGAGAGTTAATAAACTCAAGCTCTTGGGTCAATATTTCCTTAATAACTATTGTGATTTTCAAGAGTTAAAATGTTTTCCCTCTCACAGTCTGTACTTCACAATGCTGGTTAACAACCATAATAAAGCTAGCCTGATACAGAACAAAACACTTACAAGTTTGTTTGTTTTTCAGATTATGTTGAAATAATGGTAAAACCTTCTAAAGCTAGGCAAAAAAAAAAGGTGTTACTCTTTTATAATATATTATTGTCTCTTTATAATACGTTATTTTTTTAAACTATAGTGTAACATATTACAAGCAATTAGATAATCTTTTCTAGTGTAATGTATTAATAGCATATAGATAACTTCACTCCTCTAGAACAGATAATTTATTACAAGTACTTGGATAACCTCACTCCTTCTCTAGTACAATTAATATATTACTAGCACCTAGATACAACTAAATTACTTTGTCGGTTTTGATTGCTAGGTACAAAGTTATTTGCATTGTGTCCACCACAGGGAACAGAACCATGGATTTTAGTATTATGAGATTGAAGCTTAATGTTGAACACTGGAGGATATTTTCATTACGTTTTGCCCTTCTACTGGGTAAAAGTGAAAAATAGCATTTCTGATTTTAAACTATAGGTGCTGTTCCCTTGTTTATAAAGTTTTCTTTAGGAACACTGGATAAGCTAATGTATATTCCATTTTCGTTCAACCTTAACAGTTATTTTCAAACATTCTCTTATTTTATTTTATTGGGTTATGAGATGAATATCCTCAAAGAATCATGTTTTCATCTATATAGAGAAACAATGGAGAAATCATCCTTACAGTTACATACAGGCAAAGAATAAAAAATCTGAACTTGTGTTAAGCCTACTTTGTGTTGGCTACTAAGTAATGGTAATTCAATGGGAAGTCTTAACTATTTTACACAAGTAACATACTAAACATTTTGGCCATGAGCACATATGCAAGTATCATGCAAAGGCTCAATTAAAAAATAATATGAAAAAAATTAGCATTTTTTTGATCTAGTAACATTTAAGGTATGCTCAATTTACTTATCTAGAACATGTTCTGGATGTTCTTTGCCAGTAGATGAATTGAAAGAATCTGAGCAGGAAGTTCAATATGGTGGAGAAGAAACTAGCTCTCCTTGTTTTTTGTTCAAAAATGGATTTAATGTGATGCTGAGCTAAGTGATGATGAAACAGTTCAAGGTTTATTTCCTGGGATAAGCCTTGCTTTGTAAGTGACTAGAATAAATATTATGCAATCAGTGCTGTTATAGACAAAAGCAGAATAAATGTTGTCTGCAAAATACATTCTGCATTGTGACAAAATATTTTAAGTACATGCTGTATTGGTACACTTCCTCTCAATTCATTTTTCCCCTTACAACACCTCCTTGTGTAATGAATTTGTTGCTATGCATTTATTCTAATATGAACGTTGTTTAGATTAAGTTTATATTTAGAAACATACATGGCTTATACTGTTAGATAGGTATTGCGAAACTCCCTCCTATAATCCAACGTTGTAGAATATTCTTGAGAGTCAGAATTTAACAATATATGTAAACACGTAAATGCTTTGACTAGTACTGTTACGTAAGACTGAAATTTCTAGAATGCCTCCACCCAGATATAAATATAACCAACGCAACACGCCAAAAGGAGAGTGTCTATTATTAGTTCGCTATAATCAGTGTGCTATAAAACTAGGGTATTAGCCTGAGAGGTTTGGATTTGGATGAAAGTTATTTATCACGATTCCTGGTCTTGTATACTGGATAAATATTTACATATTTTGTTACTTGGTGTTATATGCATTAAAAGTATAAAAACCGATCCAATACACACAATGGAATAATAAGTAATGAGGTACAAACGGTGTTGTTCCTGTTACTAAAATAAACAAAGACTGTGTCATCATTCTTCCTATTAATATTTCTTACATACAATACAATCCACTGAATTAAACAGAAATGGGATAGAAATATCGCTAAAACAATAAAATGAAAGAGTGTATTTAATGGATTATCTGTAGAGCTAACAGTATCACTGTAACGAATTTGTTGTTATGTATTTATTTTAACATGAACATTGTTTAGATTAAGTTTATAGTTAAAAACATGCACAGCTTGTAGTGTTAG